ATCCACAGAAAGCCCAGTAAGCTAATCTAATAAGAGTAGTACAGTACAAACTCTTCCTTAAAAGCATATTGCTGCACATAAAACTTAGTCCCCATCCACATACATGTACAGATAAGGAAGGACACTCAAGAGATAACGGGATACACTATACAGCATATTATGCACACATGATATTACATGTACATGTACACTGCAATTACTAATATGTACCATGTAGACTGTAGCGGAAAAAAAATTGCCAGAATTTTACTTTGGCAGTTGGCAGATTGATGATAAAATCGGCTAAATAAAAACTGCCACTTTGCTGTAAATGTACATTCAGAGCATGACACATGCTACAAAATCGCCAATAATTATTATAAATACCGGCAATCATAAAATCACTAATATCAGGCACTGCCAAATGGACATGCATATTGCTTGCCCTGTACCTGTTACTAGTTGATGATAGTGTTAGAGAGAGTGAGCAGGATTGTTGCATTAATGATACCAAGACAACACTTAATTCATACACTGGGAGCAATGACCTAATAATAATAATAATAATAATAACAATAATAATAATAATAACAATAATAATAATAATAATAATAATAATAATAATAATAATAGGTAAATAGGAACTTCTCTCCACTTTGTATATGCATATGTACATACTTGCTTCCATTGAGTGGTTTCTTAATATCCAGTATAGAACAGATGTGGTTCAATAGTGTAATCCTGTACTGGTAGGAAGAGGAGGATGATGACAAGGAGAGAAGGGGGAGTGGTGAGTCCTCATTAATGGTGTGTGGTAATGAAATTATAAGTGACTCTGGTATCTTGTGATGAGCAAGCAGTGAACGAATGAAAGAAATAACCGATCTAAAGAATAACGACAAAATAATAATAAAATAATATTTTATGATATTACTTTGATGGTGTGGTCAAACAAATGATTTTCCAAGCATCCACTTCTACCGTCTTAATAAATTTTAACTACACGTGTGTTTATACATAAATCAATAAATTCATAATGATAAACATTACTAAGACTCACCAGCAATAAAGTGCTTAGCAGTTCATATCCAGTGTCTTCAGCAATCCTATACTGAAGTGCCCTAGACAGTATTAATAAGCAATACATGTATCATTCATAGTATCTACTTTATTGTTCCTGTCCATATGTCCTTCCAGTTATTATATACTATTCCATTGTTACTGGTATAGCTAGCAATACTTTTCAATGCTATAAAGACCCAGTGCAATACAGTGAACGCTCGTGCATCAGGTCTATACATGTACTTTGTGATATCATACATGTATTGCATTGATTCGTTACTTTTTAAGCTGAACGAGTATATTGTACAATTCTGATATTAAAGGAATTATTTCAGTAGTAGGAAATTTGACTGACTCTTTAGCAAACAGATGACCAATTAATTGCAACCTAAAGAAAAAGAGACAAACCAATAATTGTATTGTATTGGTGATAATTACCAAATAAGGACTGAGGAATTTGATGACAATGAGTCCTTTAATATCGACCAACCACTATCAACCCTTGACCTTTTCACTATAAAAAAAATAATAAACTTATTATTAAATAAATGCACATACCTTTAGGTGGCAGTGATGTGTCAGTAAATGAAGTATCAGTGTGAGAATAAGCCTATCAGAGAGATGACATCCTGATGACATAAAAACCACTCACTCACCTGCTGCATGACATCCACAGTGAAATTAATGAAAGATGGAGACACCGCGGCTTCACCTTTACTAAAGGAAGGAAGCAAAAAATAAGGAGCAAATTTATCATAGACTATAGTTACAAATACCTTGTTGATCTCGATCTCTTTGAGGCTAAATCCAATTCTTTGATGATGAAGGAATTCATTTTCTCAATGCAATTCCTCCAGTGGGCGTCATTTGATGCCCAGGCACCATCAGCCTCAGAGATAGCTCCACAAGGATGATGCAACCTTACTTGAATGTGAAGGAAAGTTAGTATCTGATCCTTAAAAAGGAAAAATATACGTACATGTACATGTATATATACTTCACACAACTATTTGTATTTCCTACTTTGAGTGATGGTGAGCTTCTGTCCCAGACCTGAATAACAGGTTGAACTAGATCCTCTCCAATTCTGCAGAGCCTGCCCCGTGCATTTGAAGCAACAGTCAAAAAGAAAACGTTACAAGCTGAAAGCAAGTGCTCAGAGTTATGCTTGGTACTAGAAAATGAGGAAATTAAAAATAAATAAAATTATACTGAAATAGAACATAACGACATGGAACAAGGAGAATTATCTCCTAGCCCACCCATTTACTATAACAGACTAGCTGGTCTGATTTTGAACAACTTTAAAAATTTGTAAAAAAATCTAATTTTGATCAGAATCAGCTCAAACTTGCTACACAACATAAGAACATGTAAATGCATCAGAAAAAAAAATATAAAAATAGAGAATTCTCTCCTAGTCATTTTTGGCAAAATTTGACCAATGACACTGTACTATAGTACAGGGATTTTGGCCCGATTTTGGAGTAACTTTAAAAATCCATAAAAAATCCAATTTTGATCGGAATCAGCTCAAACTTGCTACACATCATAAAAACATGAGTATGCATCAGAATAAATTATAAAAATGGAGAATTCTCTCCTAACCATTTTTGACGAAATGCCATGTACCTATGGTTTTTAGGAACTTTAAAATTCATTAAAAATCCAGTTTGGATCAGAATAAGCTCGGAATCTAATTTCCATTGCACTAATTTGCACTAAATTTATACCCGGTACTTTATGTCTAACAAAGAGACTATCAGTGCACATAATCATA